GGGGGGGGGGGGGGGGAAGGAGGGGAAAAAAAATTTCCCCACTTTGTCCCCACATTTCAGCCTGTTATAGGAACAGCCCTTAGCATCCACAGCTACCTATGCTTACCAGACTTGTGGTACACCTTGAAGGAAGCAGTACCATCAGCATGGATAAAGATGCTTCCAGGACCTTTTATGAATACAGAATGGAGTGGTGGGGACAGCCCCTGAGCCAGCTGCTCCATTTTACAGCAACACTGAAAGCAGACAGCCCAGGCTTGCTCCTCGCTTATAGCATGTTCAAAACACCTCAGAATCTCGGCTAGAGAGACCTTTGTGATCCTCTGCTCACACCGTGGAGACTCCATTTTCACCTCTACCTCTCATCGCCACTCTTAGCTTAGGAAGCTTAACACCTCCCTTTCCAGGACAGGCAAGTGCTCATAGCTGCCTTTTATCGGTTCTGCCTCCTGGTTTGCTCTCACCTCTCTTCCCTACAGGTGCAATCATTAATGCCAATTTTGCTCTATCTTTTTAAAGGGACACCACTTTAATCTGTATTTGTATGATATTCCTTGAAAGAAAACAGAAAGTATACAACAAAATGGAATCTAAAGAGAAGGTAAGACTGTACAAAAATCATGCTCCATTTAACGCCACTGTTTCTAACAAATATATTAATTGGAATACCAATGTTGGCAGGTAAGAAAAAGAGTACATTCAACTTCAGGCAGAGAGGGAAGGAGGCGGGAAATAATGTCTTATACTCAGGGGAGAAGAACTCACAAAAGACTACAAAAATTCAATCCATTTGATGGAAAGCTATTCTGGGAGCACTAATACATTACAGCAGTCAACTCCACAGGGCACCTGCATCCACCACGGGCCGCACTCGTGCCTGGCCTTGACCCTTTGGCCCTGCCACAGCAAATCCCAACAGCTGGGGCTGGGAGCAACACATGCAGGGACCAGGCAGGCCGGGTGGGCACCAGGGTAAGGGCAGCAAGGCCCTTCCTTGTTCAAAATGCCGATACAAATTGATACCGGTGTGAAGTAAGTTAGAACCACAGAATACTTTGGGTTTGAAGGGACCTCTAAAGGTCATCTAGTCCAACCCCCCTGACGCAGGCAGGGACATCTTCAACTAGATCAGGTTGCTCAGAGCCCCGTCCAACCTGACCTTGACCCAGCTTTATTTGCACTTTTGGTTGTGTGTGTGTGACGGGAAGGGACAGTCTTGTGATGGGGGCCATCCCCTGAAGAACTCTGTTGCTGCTGCAGTGCCTACAGCGCATTGCGGGGGACCTGCTGCTGCGCTGGCTCTCAACAGCTCAAACTCCCGAGGCAGACACTGAAGAACTGCAAGGTTTAAAAAGTGTGAATAGCACTCATAATTTATATTTCTTTCCCTTCTCGCTCATCACATTTTGGGAATGCAGCGGATCAGAGTCAGACCTCGGGCCTTGGAGCGGTGTCCAGGCCAGCATGCCTTGGCGGCGCTGACCGATGTGGTGGGTGCTCACAGGCAACACGCCTCACCACGACCAGCAGGCTCACGGCTGGCCGGCGTTTCCTGCGCTGACCCCACGGCCTTTACCCCGCCCCAGGCATCAGCCTGGCCACGGTGCGTGGCCGGGCCCCCGAGAGGGGCTTAGAGGGGCTTTCCCACTCCCGCCGGGGCCGGGCTGCGGCCGGGCTGCGCTCCCAGGCTCGGCCCTGCCAGGTGGGAGGCCGGGAGCTCCCCGCTGCCAAGGGAGCTTCCCTTCCGCGGCTCTGGGGTGCCAGGCACCCAGCAGCACCCGAGGTATGCTGCGCGGGGAAGGGGTGAAGGCACACCA